GCTTTTTGTAAAAGCTGATAAAGATCAATCATACGGAGACAAAGGCCTGGGCAGCCCACAGCAAAATTTATTGTCTTTTCAGCAATGCTTTAACCTATGTTATTTATTTGGGGGGGGGCAGTACTGGGTTTTGAACTCTGGGCCTCACTCTTGCTAGGCAGAGCACTTTACCACTTGAGCCATAGCCCAGCCCTTTTCCTTTGTTATCGTTTCACACAGGGTCTCAGGCTTTATACTGAGCACTCTTGGGCTTCAATCCTCCAACCTTTCACCCACATAGCTGGGATTACAGATTTGCTACTCAGCCTTGACTGTTGAGATGGGGGTCTTTGCTAATTTTTGCCCAGCCTGACCTTGAACCCCAGTCCTATCTCTGCCTCCCAAGTAGCTGGAATTACAGGCATTTCACCAGACAGTTATTTCTGTACTTTTTTTTTAAATTTCAGATCAGATTATGGAAAAGGAGCTCAAAAAAAAAAAGTTCCAAAGTTCATGAGAAGAATGTAAAGAAATTTTTATTTTTTATAGCTTACGTAGTTGAACTCAGGGCCTACCCTTTAGCCAACTCCACCAGCTCTTTTTTTGTGGTGTGATTTTTTTTTTTTTCAGATAGGGTCTCATGAACTATTTGCCCTGGCTGGCTTTGAACTGTGATCCTCCTTATCTCTGGCTCCTGGGTAGCTAGATTACAGGCATGAGCCACCGGCACATGGCAGAAATTTTTATTTTTTGGGATACAGACCTCACTATGTGGCTCAGGCCAGATTTGAACTTCAAGGATTCTCTAGTCTCAGCCTCCAAAGTAGCTGCAATTAAAGGTGTGCGCCATTAAATCTGTCACGTGAAGAATATTTTGAAAAAACAACTGTGAAGACAACCTACCCTACTGACACTCAAAACTTTTACAACGCTATTGTATTCAAAACTGACCCAGTGCAAGCCACAACAGCCATTCAGGTGAACGAAACAGAAAGTTCAAACACAGGCCCAAATGGAGATGGAAAACAGAAACATAAAACAAGACATTAAGTCAGTAAAGGTTTGTTCAATAGTTATGCTGGAACAGATGACTACCGGCTTTGAAGATACTAATCAATCCCTATGCTTCCATTCACACAGGAAAGGAATTCTTATAAATACCAAAAATAAAAAATAGATTTATCATAACATGACTGAGTGTTCGTGCCTCTGTGTGACATGTGCCACCCTCAAATCTTGTTTACGACGTGGGCACATTTCCTTCTGACATAAAAAAAAAATAATAATAATAATAAATACAGCATGGTAATGGACTTATGGCAGACACTTCTCTGGGGACCTCTAATGGTGCACCTGTGCCAGAGTGAACTCCAGCCTCTAACCATTGTCCAGCTATCTTACCTGTGTGCTGTGAGCACTGAAGAAGGTTGCACAATTTGACAACAAAAAATAAAATTTTAATATAAGAAAATACAGGAAAAAAGAGCTTCATATTGGGATAAGGAGGCTAAGGCTTCTAAACCAATACAGAGAAGTCATAAAACAAAAAAAAATTTAGCCAGGCATAGGGAAGCACACCTGCTATCCCAGCACTCAGGAGGCTGAGGAAGGAGGATTGTAAGTTCAAAGTCAGCCTGGGCTACATGCAAGATCCTGTCTCAAAAAAAGAAAACATTATGACCATATAAATTCAATTCAATTTTATTGCGAAGTCTTTGCCAGTTAAGCAGCAAACCCCAAGTAATTCTCACTGACTACAGAGTACAGCTGCTAACAGTAGGGGTCAGAGCCTACACTAGGTGGTCTGACTCTTAGTAAGTTGCTTCGTCTTCCTGAACTTCCATTTCTTCTGCTGAGAAATGGAGGTAATTCTCTCCCCAGGCACAGGGGTCTGCTGTTATCACTCCTCTAGAAAGTACACACTGATAAAGAATAGATACAGAAACCAGCCCCACCCACACTAAAAAAATGTGGGTCAATAAATGGTCAATAAATATAACAAAACATATCCAAAGCTCTAAGTGTGCATGTATAAGCATTACAGAGCTTAAAGCAGGTGCATGTGTGTGCACCTGTATAATAACAAAAGCGGCAAGACTCCTAAATGTTCAACAGAGAGAGGCCCAAACAGATTACGGTACACCAATGCTATATAGATAAGGACTGAGGGCTGGTGGAGTGGCTCAAGTGGTAACAGTGCCTGCCTAGAGACTAAGAGTTCACAAGAAGGAATGTCCATCAATACAGGAAAGTGGTAAGCAACCTACACAAGTGCATACAAGATGATCTTAGTTTTAAAATTAAATATTCTCAAGTGACCAAGCACTTATTAATTTGTATAATAAAACAGGGTACAAAGCAAATGGTTAATACTGTACCATTAATTTGAAGGACTGGGAAGGAGAGGCAGAGGCTATCAGTTTTACTTTAGACACATTTATTGTTCAAATGTTTATAAGAATGTTTGCCTTCCTGGGGACAGGTGGCTCACATGTGTAATCCTAGCTACTTGGGAAGCTGAGATCCGAAGGATCACAGTTTGAAGCCAGTCCAGGTAAATAGTTCTGGAGACCCCCAACTCCAAAATAACCAGAGCAAAATGAACTAGAGGTGTGACTCAAGCCATACAGCACCTATTCTGCAAGTGCAAAGCCCTGAGTGAAACCCCAGTCCTACCAAAATACATAATTATATATTTACATATATGTATTAAAATATACATTTTTTGTCTTTAATTTGAATTGACTCTTAAATCTTTAAGTTAACTGACTTTTTTAGAGCAGTTTTAGGCTTACAGAAAACTGAGTGGTAAGTACAGTACCTGTGCATCCCTGCCTCCTCTCTCTGCATTTCTCCTACTTATGTTTATTATAACTAATGAACAGTGAACCACCATTAACAAAATTTCATAGTTTACATTACTCTTGGTGTTGTGTATTTTCTAGGTTTTGCATACATAGTGTCATGTTACAGTATCATAGAGAACAGTCTCACTGCCCTCATGATCCGCTACCCTCCACCTGTTCACCCCCACCTAACTCCAGGCAACCCCTGATGTTTTCACTGGATCTATATGCTTACCACACAATCCAGCAATCACACTTCTTAGTATTTACCTAAATGAGTTGAAAACTTAGATCCAAAAAAAGCCCTGCACGCAAATGTTGAAAGCAACTTTATTTATAATTGCCAAATGTGGAAGCACCCACACGTCCTTTAACAGTAAATGAACTGACACATCCGCACCATGGAGTATTACTCAGCATTAAAAAGACAGCAGCCACAAAAAGACACAGAAGAACCTTAACTGCATACTGCTAAATGGAACAAGCCAATTCAAAAAGGTTACACACTATGATTCCAGCTGTCTTAGTCATCTGTGCTGCTTATAACAAAATGCCTGAGATTGGGTAATTTGTAAAGAGCAGAAAGTATTTCCTCACATTTCTGGAGCTAAGAAATCCAAAATCAAGGTACTGGTAGGTTCAATTGTCTGGCGAAATCTCCTTTATGCATCATCAAAAGGAGGTGGAGTGGTTTGTCCTTACACGGCAGAAGGTGGAAAGGGGGAGAGAAGCCAACTCTCTCTATCAAGACCTTTTATAAGGACACCTAAATCCCACACATGAGGGCAGAGCCCACATGATCACCACCCCAAGGGTACACTCCCAATTTGTGGCACTGGGGATTAAGTTTCAACACAAATCTTGGAGGGCATGAAAACATTCAGGCCATAGCATATGACTAAATGTTTTTAAAAAGAAAATAAGGTTGAAGCCAGGCATAGTGACTCATGCCTATAATCCCAGCTACAGGGGAGGCAGAGACAGGAGGATCATGGTTTGAGGCCAGTCCAAGTAAAAAATTATTGAGACCCATCTCAATCAGTAAAAAGCTAGGTATGGTGGTGCATTCCTGTGGTACCAGCTGCTGAGGCATAGGAAGGAATTGTAGCATAAGGCCAATCTTACCTGAAAAATAACTAAAGCTTTTGCTGGGAGTGTGGCTCAAGTGGCAAGAATACCTGCCTAGCAAGTGCAAGGAAGACCCTGAGTTCAAACCCCAGGGCCACCAAAAAAAAAAAAAAAAAAAAAAAACCACAAAACAAAAGGTTGAGGATTTGCCCATGAAAGGTATTGTGGTTGAGAAGCCAGAAGAACAGCATGAACAACCTCTGGTTCCCAGATATCCCAGACTGGACAGAGTCCAGCACATATGGCCTGCAGCCAAATCTAGTCCATTGCCTATTGTTGGATTATTTGGCTTAAAAAAATTCAAAAGAATATTTCATGACATCTGAAAATAATGTGGAATTCATATTTCAGTGTTCATAAATACAGATTTTATTAGACTACAGCTACTCTCATTTGTTTATGTATTGTCTATGATGCTTTAGTGCTACAACCACAGAGTTAGTAGTTATGACAGACTGTGGCCTATGAAACCTAAAATAGTTACTGACTAGCTCTTGAAAGAAAAACTGTGCTGGCCTCTGGCCCAAAGAACTGTGTTCAATCTATTTGAAGGTCTGCTAAAATCTTTTCATTCTGCCAACTATGAATGGCCCCAGCCCTCAGGTCTTGCTACCCAAGGGTCCCTGAGCCCAAGCCTACCTGTAGCCACATATCCACAACCCGCAGGCAGGTCTCTTTCCCACAAGGAATCAAGGTTAAGCCAGGACCTGGGCTCAGCAAGGTCTCCTGATGCACTGATTAGTCCTGGTCTGTGGTCCCTCTTCTCACCGGCCATGGCTCTCTTGTGTACTAAGTTCACTTGGAAGGAAATTGTCACTTCCAGCAAACCTGAGGGATGAGCACCCACTTATCAAGAGATTACATATAAAGTAAGGCACTAGGCCTGGGGATGTAGCTCAGAAGAGGGGGACTTGCCTAACATGTGCAAAGCCCTGGGTTTAGTCCCCCACACCACAAAAAATAAAAATAAAAATTTTTAGCCACTAAAGGTGCCTAAAAATGCAAAGTGATGTACAGATTCCAGGAAAATGCCCATTAAAGGAGATTTGGTTCCAACTGTGTGTGGTCCCAGGCCCACAGCTCATCAGTTTATACTTCTGTAAAGTTAGGATGATAATAATGAATGTCTTGCTTGGCTGCTGCAATGAGAAAACTGATATGAAAACAAAACTTTTTAATTATAAGCACTAATGAAATTTAAAATGCTTATCATACAGTTGATGGACTTCATATTCTTATATGAACCAGAACAAAGAAACCTCTTACAATAGCTTTAAGTGGGGCAGGGAGAGGGTAGAGGGGGAGAAAAGGTGAAGGTAATCTAACCAATGTACAATATAAGCTTATTTATAATTGTCACAAGAATCCCCCCATACAACAAATACATTGATAAAATTTTTAAATGTTTATCAATTGTCCAGGTCTGCACATGGCAATGACTAAAAGGTCTAATAGTCTTGGCAAAATTGCCAGTGGGCCAGCACCATGTGGAAGAGCACATGACTGAGTGGTTCAAGATCAAAATCCAATAATGCTGGCAACAACAGTGTGAGAACAGGCACAGCAGCTAAGATGCCCAGCACACAGCAGGAGGCTGAGAATGTGTCACATGAGACTGGTCATGCTCAAGCTTCAAACGTGAGTACAACCCCTCACTTGTTACCAATGTAACCTGGCACAGTGACTTGAGCCTCCTGTGGCCTCAGCGTTCTCATCTGCAAAATGGGCTGCCACTTCCTACCTCAGAAGTTTTCCAAAATTAATAAATAAGATTATACAAGACAATGGGCATGGCTAAGACTAAGAACACAGTAAGGATCCAAGCAATTTCATCCTTGCTTTCCTCTCCCAGGGGCCAGCTCACCTCACGCAAATCCCAGGCACGCACAGTACAGTCAGTGGACACGGTGCAAACCACAGACTTCTCCCTTCCATCAAACCGGTACTCATTGGTTGAGATGTAAGCCAGCTGATCTATCTGTCCTGTAACAGAACACAGACAGAAAGGGCCTGGGATGTGGACACTCTGCTTGGTGAAAAGGGTTGGCAGGAAAACCATTAATTACTCTTTTTCTGTCTCAAGAACACAGTATGTGCTTACTCAGGACACAACAAAGACAAGAGCTAGGCCTTCAGAGTTAGTTACAACTGGGTTCTACTCTCAGGACCGTCACCCACACACCATGAGACCTTAAACTACTCCCCATTTTCTTGGTTTCTGTTTCTGTCTACTGTGAACTAACAGGGTTGTTGTGAGGATCAAATGTATAACACAAGTGATATAGAAACCAGCAGATACTTACTCATCAAGTAGCACTTTCCAAGTCATTGGCTGAAATGTTAAATTCCGTGAGACCTGACCAGGGAATGGGTTGGGGTGAGGCACAGCTACCACACTCCCCACCTCATACCTGTATGCCCATCAATAGCTTTGCAGGTGAAGTCTTCTGGGCGCCCAGATTCCACTCGGAACTCCAGCTCAGACCGGCAGAGATAGTACTGCTTCCACGTCTGTGTGCTCAAAACCATCTGGGAGGCTTTGCAGGAGGACCAGCGTCTCAGACACAACTGCCTGAAGAACAAACCCACAAACCCAGACAGGACACAGCAGTCACAGATTTTGGAGCCAAAAGATCTAGTTTTGCATCCTGGCTTTTCCATTTGCTGGCTTAGAAACCTTGTGTAACTCATTTGTCTACCTAGGCTTCAACTTCCTCTCCTGTAAATGAGGACAAGTAACATTGAATGAGTGCTATGTGTCAGGCATGAAGTGCTCTTCGTACATCCAAAGAACCTTCACAGTAACCCTGAGAAGTAGAGTATCATCACTACTGTACACTTGAGGGTACACAGGTTAAACAACTGGGATTCACAAGCCTACTTTCTGTGAAGTCTCCAATTCTTGTTGCTGATCTATTTCTCTCTCAACTTGGTCACCTCTTCATGTATTTGTTGCTGTGCTGCAAAAGGCACATGTCACTGACATATCTTATTAGACTAACCCATTTATCATTATACAACACCTTTGTCTGTATGACATTGTTTTGTCTCAAAGTACATTTTGTCTGATATTGGTATAGCAATTCAGCTGTCTTTTGGTTATTATTTGCATGGTATATCTTTTTCTATTCTTTTACTGTCAATCTGTCTTTGAATCTAAATGTGTCTCAGGGCTGGGGATGTAACTCAGTGGTAAGTTCTTACTAGCATGCATGAGACCCTCAGTTTGATCCCCAGTACCACAAACAAACAAAATAAAGTATGTCTCATGCAGAAAGCACTTTTCATTGCCCACTGTCAATCTTTGCCTCTTCTTTTTGGCAGTTCTGGGGATAGAATTCACGGCAAGACAGTCACTCCATCACTTGAGCCATGTCCCCATCCCAGTCTTTGCCTTTTTATTAGACTACATAATTCATGTGTGTTCAATGTAGTTACTGGCAAGAGCAGATATACATATCATTTTGCTATTTATTTACTAGGACTTAAGCATCTTTCCCCTCTATTCCCTCATTACTGCCTTCTTGTGTTAAATATTTTCTAGTGTACTATTTTAATTCCTTTGTCATTTCTTCTACCTTTTTTTTTCTGGCAGCACTAGGGTTTTTTGTTGTTTGTTTTAGAACAATAAACACATAAGCTTTATTGCATGAGCTAAGCATAGTGGACAACTTATTTGCCTTTCCCAACGTTGCTCTTCCTCAGATAGAATTCCCAGCTCCTTGCTCTCTGTACATAGCCATCTACTCTGCCACAATGGTCTGGTCTGGATGAAATATAGGCAAGAAGTTTGCCCTGCTGGAACTACTCCTCCAGAAGACTGCTGATATTGGCACTCTTTTTCCTTCCTTCGTTATTTCTTTTGAATTTTCCTTGATCATTCTTTTAAAACCTCTTCCTCCTCAGGGGTCAGCTTGGCCCCTTTCTTGTGGCCAGAGGCAGTGCACAGAGGGACTCGAACCATGGTCGGTATGGTGTGCTGTCCATGAGCACAGTGCAGTTCTTCACCAGGGTCTTTGTGCAGACCAGCTCGTTATTGGATGCACTACAGACAACATCAATGATCCTTGTTTTGTGAGTGCAACACTGAGAGCTCCAGGATAAGTTCCCCATATTCAGCCTCAGTGCACAGTACTTCTTGTTGCCTCCTCGAACTCAGACTATGTATACGTCAAGGGCCAATCTTAGCGTTGGCAGCAGAGTGTCCTAGCTCATATTTCTGCTTCTTGTGACAGGGCTTTCTCTTGCCCCCAGTCTCGTGGTGCTTGTGCCACTTGTCCCAAGAGATGCTCATCGCTTGGTGCTGGCTGGAAAGAGCAGCACTAGGGTTTGAACTCAGGGCTCACACTTGCTAGGCAGGTGTTCTTGCTGCATGAGCCACTCCACCAGTCAATTTTTTTCGAGATAAGGTCTCTCGAACTATTTGCCTGGGACTAGCTTCAAACCACAATCCTCCTGATCTCTGCCTCCTGAGTAGCTAGTTACAGGCATGAACTACCCTGGCTCTTCTACCGTACTGTTGTTCCACCATGCTTATAATGGTTGCCTTAGAGATTACAATTTAAATCTTAATTTACAACAATCCAGTTTTACTACAACCTTTAATTTCAGTAGTATATAAAACATCTCCTACATGAGTCTATTTCCTCCCTCCTTTGTGTTGTTCTTGTCAAAAATTACATCTTTATACATTGTATGCCATGAAAAGAGATTTATAAACTGGGTATGGTGTACATACCTTGTAATCCCAGAACTCAGGAAGGAGTAGGAGCATGAGTTTAAGGCAGTCTGAGCTACATAGTAAAACCTCCCTCAAAAATCCCAAAAACAAAATAAAAATCCAAGACTATTTTTCTAATTAATATTAGCAATAAAAAAAACCCAACAAATAGAAAAGTGTTTTATAATACTAAAAACTAAGTAAGATTGGCCTTAATAAATTCCCAAATATCTCAAGGTTTAATGATCCTAAAAATGAAACAAAAATTCCCTCCATGTTCTGAAGAACCATCATGCATGAACAGTGTTTTTCATTATGAGTGACTAAAATTAAGTAAACTCCTAGTTGAAAGTCAAGGCTGTACTGTATTCTGCAAGAGGTAAGAAATCTGATAGTTCTTTTTTCTTTTTCCAGCTTCTGATAGTTATATTTTCGCACAAAAGAAGTTAGGTTCCAAAGAAGAAATGGAATAGAAAGAAAAGTTTAGACATTTAATAATTAAAATGTTTTCAATTTTCACCTTCATGCATACTTCATGCATACTTATATTGCTGTGTCATTAAACCAAAGCTGAATTAAAAGTAATCTGAAGCCAGGTACTGGTGGCTCATGCCTGTAATCCTAGCTACTCAGGAGAAGAGATCAGGAGGATCCTGGTTCGAAGCAGCCCAGGCAAATAGTTTGAGAGACCCTATCTCAGAAAAACCCATCACAAAAAAAGAGCTGGTAGAGTGATGCAAGATGTAGGGCCTGAGTTCAAACCCCAGTACCAGAAAAAAAAAAAAAACCAAAACAGTAATTTGTGCAATTACTGAGATGTGATTACATGCCTGTAATCTCAGCACTCTAGGAGGCTAAAGCAGAATTGTGAGTTTGAAGCCAACCTGGACTATACAGCAAGTTTAAGGCCATCCTGAACACAGTGAGATCCTGTCTCAAAAAAAAAGCTATAGTCATATTTCTGATTTGTCTTCTGCCAGCCACCTGTATTCTTTTACTATATATTTCTGGCCCTGAGTTGGTAAGCATACTTTATATCAATCCTCCATTCTATTCTATATCCCTAAGCAAAGAAAAGTATTCTGGTGGTGAGGTCCTAGAATAATTCTTTCTACACACTCAACAGAGCCAGAAATGCAGACAATGCCCAGAATGCTTACTCAGCACCTCCATCTCTCCTGTGCAGGATCAGCTTTGGCTCTTCACTCACCTCCACAGTTCCTTGGTCCTTGAAACCTCATTCCACACCTATAAAAGGAAGGAAAGAAGTGAGTCAGTCGATAGCACCTCACTTGCCAACCTGTGGAAGGGACAAAGAGCTAAAGCAGACCCTGTCTCTGCATTCCAGAAAATGCACTCTGTCGAATCGGAGATTATTTGGACATAAAAACAATGAGAGTAAGGAGGGACTCGAGGTGGTGGTGGGTAGGGAGCCACAGGCTAGAGTAGTAACTATGTATCAAGTTTCAAAGGGTGAGTAGCTGTTCTCTAAGAGAACCACCAAAGCATTGCAGGGAGAAACAGAACAGCTGTCCAAACATGATTCAAGTGTGGAAAAGATGGGTGAGTAATTTACCTTAATTAGAACATGAGGTTCTGGTGGGGATGAAATGGAAAAAGGAGCTGGCATTTGGCTGAGACCAGCTTCCTGAAGTCTTCATGGAAAAAAAAAATGAGAAACTACTTGAGAACTTTGAACAGGGGAGTAAAGGGTCAAACCATGTTAGGAAGATGGCTCTGGCTGCTATGGCAGGAAGGACTGGAAAGGAGATCAGAGGAGACTTTAGATGAGGGTTGCATCAATGGAGTAAATTAAGGCACTGACCAAGGAAATGTCCCAGAGATGCCAAAGTGGTAAAAATGGGAACAGACTACAGGCAAGGATACTATGCGGGCCCTGCTCTTACAAACTTCTTTCTGCAAAGTACCTTCCCTCTGCAAGTCAGGTCCCCACGTGGAATGGGGGTCAGGGTACCACACCTATCTCAGGTCCAGGCCTGCTTCCTGACCTCTCTAGCTTGCCACCCTGGATTCTGGAGCCCAAATGACTTCCATCTTTTGGCTAGTAGTAATGTAAAGTTTTTATTTTGCAAAATTAAACAAAACAAAGATCTGCGCATTTCCTTTTCTATAGTTTCTAGTTCAAACCCCAACTGAAATCTTATTTTCCCAATGGAGAATTATAATATGTAATATGCCCTACAAAATAAATGCCATCCACCTTTGAGGATCCATCTATTAGATTCCAGCCTTCACAATGACATCACGAGGTAGAGATTACTGACTTAATTTTACCTATGGTAAACTAAGACAATGAAATGTTGGTGCTACCAAAGGGTGGAAGGCACCTCTTTTCAAACTCTGCCCCTAAGTTTCCCATAGACTACTTCTGTGAAAACTGCCCAGTGTGTGACAATGTGGGTCACCTTAGACAAACCACTGTGTAATACTGTTTCCTTATCAGTAAAAGTGGAGGTGATAACCCAATGTTTTACTAGATATACTTAAAATTACAATTATGGCCTTGGAGTCCTAAGGCATACAATGAACATCTAGCACCTACCATTGGCAGAGAAACACAGAGGAGAGGTAAGAGCCTCTGCCACTCCTTCCCCAGCTGGGGCCTTGCACTGGTAATTGGAAGAACCTTGACTTGGCAAATTTAAAAACAGAACACAAGTGTTGGGGCTGGTGGAGTGGCTCAAGTGGTAGAGTGCCTGCCTAGGAAATGAAAGCCCTTAAGTTCAAACCCAGTAACAACAACAACAACAAAAGAACACAAGTGTGGGATAGTCCCACAGGTGCCTCCCCAGCTCTGCCAGTCCCTTCATGGGCTGCACCACCCAGATCAGACCCTCCTCCTGCCATTTATGGTAGGGTAGGCTGGGACTAGTGGGAGAGGGGAGTCACATCCAGCAGCACATGTTCCTGGTTCCAGAATACCAGATGCCTCAAAGACTAAATGTGGCCTTATGTCTGTAAAATTGTTTGTAACCCATGTTCAGGGGAAGGAGCCATTTACTTGTTAAATTTGTGTCTCCCACAGCACAGCTGTTTAACATCAGTTTTCAAGGAAAAACACCATTCTTGGTTTACAACTCAATCAGTTCAATCAGGAGGTCTTCTCCACTTTTCCACCTCTATGGACCCTCTATTTCCGCTCTTCCACTACCTTATACAGGCTGATAAAGAGGGAAAGTTTCGGCCCCTAGATCAAGTTATAGTGTATGAGGTATTTCCAAATTTTATCTTGTTCCTGAAACTTCCAAACCTTGACAAGTTACTTTACCATGTAACAGAGAAAAAAGAAATAGACAACAAAAATATCACAAGTATAGCAAAGAGAAGACATTAAAGTGGCTGGAGGGAAAAAACGTTGATCCAGCTATGGCAGCATTACAGTCAGGTGCGTTTTTCTCTGATCACCAGGTTTCTAGTGACAAGGAAGAGGATTATGTTTGCTATGGTCTGATATCTGATTACATGCCAAAAGTATTAAGTAATGACCTACTGAAATATTTGAAGTCTCTAGAATATTCAGCTTCATTGTCAAACCCTCTATCCAAGAAACTAAAGTTACCAGATGAGTTTGTATGAGCAACAGCTTACACTAAGTTTAAAGATTTGAAGACTGAAAAGAAAAATAGCAAAATGCAGCCCAGAAGTCTTTGGCTAAAGTTAACAAGAGTGGGATGAACAGTATTAATGCCTTTTTTGTGCAAATAAACAAACGTGTTTTTAATTTGAAGATTGAAACTAAAAATAAAAAGTCTAATAAAGCAAAAAAAATGTTGGCATTCAAATCAGGATGCTTGTGAACCCTTTAGTTAAATGATATATTTTAAGTTCCTTTAAGAAATTCATTTACTCAGCAAGCGTTTATTGAGGGGACACTAAATGTCAGGGCATACACTAGGTGCTAGAGACAGTGATGAAAAAGACTCCCTCGCAGGAATGCGTCTAGCAGAGAAAACCAGACATTACACAAATGCATCATACTGAGACCCACTTAACTACAGCTGTGCCGGGCCCCCGAGAGGGGACGCGGGGTGGTAGTGCGTGGAGGGCAGGTGACATCAATTTTCTCAACACGGGTGCCACGGGCGCAGTCATGAAGGAAACGACAGGGGACCAGCGAGGGCCACGGGAGACCACAGGCGAAGGAGCTGCCCTGGGGAGAAGAGGGGCGTGCCGTGCACCGGGAGCGAGTAAAGCACAACCCCGGAGGAAGAAAGTTTCTGGAAGGGTATTTCGGGCAAGCCGGGAACGGGAAGGAAAACGCTCCCCGAGCCAACCTCGGGAGCGCGCGTCCCGCTCTCGCCTCAGCTCAGCGCGCCGTACCTTGTTCACCTGCGCGGCGCGCAGCAGGTCTCGCGCCTCCAGGAAGGAGAAGACGTGCAGCAGCTCGTGCAGCCCCAGCTGCGTCACCATCCCGCCGCCGGACTTCCCGGCCACGCCCGCCGGGCACCGGCCGCCGCCCTCCTCCGCGCCGCCGGCGGCGACCCGACCGCCCCGCTTCCGTCCCCCGCTCACCTAAACCCCACCCACCCCAGCCGCACTTCCGGCCTGCACGCGCTGCGTCGCCCGCCCGTCTGCACTTCCGGGCCGTTAATTAAGTGCTGTGTACCCAGCGGAACTGCTGCCGCGTACTTCAGTTCCAGGTGGCTAGCCCTACTTATTCCCTTTGGAAGGATTCCTCCCCAAATAGTTCTCCCCGCTTCTCAGTGACCATCAACTTATCCCTGCTCCAACTCTTGCCCACCCTTTATACTGCCATTCACTCTAGTACTGACCCTGGCCTCCATTGTCCCTTTCCCTGTCATTGGCCTTCTTCCTAACCCAAGGCCTCATTGTCCCTCTCCCCACCTCACTATCCCACTCCCTACCATTGGACTTCTTCCTGGCTCTGACCCTGACACTCCCTATTTCTATCATTGGCTTTTCCCTGTTCCAAACCCTCAACAGACCCTCTTCCTACCATTGATCTTCAACTTGATCCTGGCCCTAGCTCTGACCCTAACTGTCCTCCTTACCATTAGTGTTTTTCCTGGCACTGACCCTCACTGTTCCTCTCCCCTACAACTGACTTTCTCTTTGGCACTGTCCTTTGTCTTGGGCATGGCCTTGGCCATAATACTGATCCTTTCATCCTGCCCTAAACCTGGTCCTGGTCTTTGCCCTGACCCCTATCTTTGCCCTCACTCTTCCTTTCACCCTCATCCTGACCTTGAGCCTGACTCTGTTCCTCCCTCAATCTAGCTTCACTCTCAGTTCAGCCCCCCTCTCACCTTGGAACTGGACTTCACCCTTGCAGAGTCTCTTGCCCTTACGTTGGCCTTTATCATAGCCTTGATACTGATCCCAGACATTACTCTATCTTGGTCCTGTCCCTGGCGAAGTTCAGATGAGATTTAGTTAAGGATAGAGTTCAGGGTGAAAGTCAAGATCTAAATCTTTCAAGGTCACAGTCATTGTCAGTAGGAAGTATGATCAGAGCAGAGTGAAGAGGATCAGAATCAAAGTGAGGTTGAGTGTCCAGGTCAGGGAAAAGTCTGTAGCAGGTGAAGGATCAAGGTGAGAAAGGTCATAGTTATAAAAATCACATTCAAGGTCAAAATCAGTGTGAAGGAAGTTTTACGGCCAAAGTTAAGTTTGAGATCAAGTTAAGGTCAGGATGAATATTTAATTTCTCTGAGTAAATTCTGCCATGCACTGAGTCACAAGTCAACAAAGGGGAGGAACAAGGCTCATAGGGAGGCTTGGGGCTTCCCCAGGTTACATCCGAAAATACAAATGCCAACGTATAAAAATCCTTGACTTTATTTACATTTATCTCCCATGATATTATTTACATTGGGATTTTTGGCAACTTTTTTTTTTTTTTGGTGATATTGGGGTTATGAACTCAGGGCTTCATGCTTGCTAGGCTGTCACTCTCGCACTCTCGCACTTGAGCCACTCCACCATCCCTGTTTTTGTGTTGGGTATTTTGAAGATAGGGTCTGGCAAACTATTTTTCCCAGCTGGCTTGGAACCATGATCCTCTTGATCTCTGCCTCCTGAGTAGCTAGGGACCTGGCTTTAGCATCTCTTTTTTTAAAAACAGCAACAAACAACAACAAGAAACCATGGATACATTGAATGATACAAAGTGTAAGGTTTTTGGGGGAGGGGCAGTACTGAGGTTTGAATTTAGGACTTCCAGCTAGCTAGGGAGGCGCTCTACCACTTGAGCCACTCCACCTAGCTAGCAATTCTTAAAGTATGTGTCTTTTGGGCCTAGCAAAGAACAAAAGTTGATAGGATTAATAGGCTGTGCCACAGTTTTGTAGGCTACATGTAATGTAAAAGAAGACTTGAAAACCCTTCTCACCCAGGTCAATGTTTGTGGACAATAAAGTAATCCCAGATCATGGGGAACCTGAGACAGAAGGATCGCTTGAGCCAGCAAATTAGAGATCAGCGGGACAACCATAGCGAGACAGCAATGTCATCACCCCAAGGTTGTAGTTACATTTTTCATTCCAAATGCTCGCCAAGCTGTTCAGGGTGCAGTGACTTTTGTGGAGCCTTAAGACATTCAGGTGAGCCTGGCACCGGTGGCTCATGTCTGTAATTCTAGCTACTCAGGAGGCAGAGATCAGGGGATCGTGGTTCGAAGCCAGCCTGGGCAAATAGTTCCCAGACCCTATCTCGAAAAAAATCCTTCACAAAAAAGGGTTGGTGGAGTGGCTCAAGGTGTAGGCCCTGGATTCAAAGCCCAGTACTGCAAAAAAAACAACAAAAAAGTGGAACTCCGATTTGGGAGTGGTGGCAAGTCCTTGCACCCTAGTTCTGGGTCTATTTCATGGAATTCGGCAAAGGGTGCTGCGACCAGAGGGAGCACTGAGTCTCTGGAATGGTGGCCTGGGCTTTGTGCACAACAAAATCCTTTTCTGTGGGGCAGTTGCATGTCCTATATGGAATCGGCAGGGGATTGATGCTCTGGTGGACCACGCCTAGGCTCAGTGTCCCCTGTCCCTTCTCTTCTTAGACCACGAGACTCTCCCAGAGCCCCAGCGAGGCGGTAGACACAAGAGGACCAAGTTCAGCAAAGACCAGTACAAGGTCCTTATTGAGGCCTTTGAAAGGAACCAGTATCCTGGCTTTGGCATCAGAGAAGAGCTAGCCAGGCTGACCCAGATTCCTGAGTCACGAATTCAGGTAACGTAGAAATGGTTTTTTTTCTTCTCTGTCTTCTTGACCAAGAGAGGTGGGGTTGAGTGCATACTGAGCACCTATTTTTCCAAAAACAGAAAAAACAAAAGCAATCCCTCCCAAACCAAAACCAACCAAACAAATCCCACTCTCTTTTGTTGTGGTGGTGATGCTAGGGATGAAATTGTCTTCAGGTTACACCCTTAGTGTGAAAGCCACTTTTAACCTTACTTGTTCCCCAACTGAGATAGGGGCTCCAAACTATTTGCCCAGTCTGGCTTTGAACTCAATTCTCCTGATCTCTGCCTCTTGAGTACCTAGGATTACAGGTGTGAGCCATCAGCGGCCAGCTCATTCTTTCTTTCTACTAATAAATAACTTAATTGGTGGTACTGGGGTTTGAACGCAGCTTCAGGGCTTGCATTGAGCCACTCTGCTAGCCACGTGGTATGAAAGCCACTTTTACTCAATCTTCTCAATATTCCTGTAAGGTGGGTATGAGCTCTGTTCTCTGGATTGGGAAAATAAAGATAGGTATATTTTGAGATTTATTTTATCTTATCTTATTAAAATTTTGGTTTGTTTTCTGAGACAGGGTCTGGTTATGTAACCTAGGCTGGCCTCAAATTTATGATCCTCCTGAGTGCTGTAGTTACAGGCATGCACCAGCATGTGCACCAAGATTTAGTAATTTAGATTACAGCTCTGGCAGAAGATAGTGTGTAAATTGATAAATGTGGGTTATACCTGTTAAATAGTGACCAGTTTAGAAATTAAAGCTGAGAAACAGGCTGGCGGTATAGCTCAGCTAAGCACCAGAAGAGTGCTTCTCTCGAATGTGGATTCTATTCCCAGCACTGCAAAAATAAATAAATAAACAAACAAACAAAAGCTGTGTGCCTGCTCGCACCTGTAACTCAGGAGGTGGAGATCAGGAGGATCTGGTTTGAAGCCAGCCTGGGCAAATAGTTCACCAGACCCTATGTCAAAAAAATCCACACACTAAAAAAAGGACTGGTGGAGTGGCTCCAGGTTAGGCCCTGAGTTCAAACCCTAGTACCACAAAAAAAAAAGAAGAAAAGAAAAGAAAAAGGTGAGACACTGAAAAATATTCACTAATGAACTTTTTTTCAAGAAAAGCAACCATGATCTCAAAGCCAGAAAATTGAGTGAGAGGAACAGCAACTGACCAGAAGAATACAAAGAAAGCTGAATTCTCAGATCTCCTTCTAAATTCTTCCTTTGCCCCACCTCATGCAACATCTGAAGAAGTCCACCGAAAGAATGGGAAAGGAAAAAAGCAAATAGTGTGTGAATATTTATTTATAAGGAGAATAGCTTTTTTCAGCTTGCTTTTTGTGGTGCCAGGGATTGAACCCAGGACCTTCACACATGCTAGGCAAGCACTCTAGCCACTGAGCTATATCCCCAGGCAGGAGAACAGTCTTGATCTCTGGGATCCCTGGGGCTTCCCAGCACTCCCACATGGGATCTGGTCCTCTTGATCTCAGCCTTGGGGCACATAGGGGTTACTTGGAATCATCTCTTCCTCCAGGAAGTTCTCTTCTCCATGTCTGAGAAGAGTGGGAGATGGAGCAGGTGGTTTGAAAGCTCCCCACTTGGTTCTTAAGCAGAGCCAGGATCAAACAGTCCTGTCCTGGGCCAGCAGTTTCCAGTGCCCCCAAGAATTTGAATACAAATTCAAATGTGTGGTCCTGGTACGTGTTAAGTTTTTCACTCCCATTGACTCTGGTATATAGACCATCTGCCATCCGATCTTCAGCTCAGGTTTTCAGCCACTGTCAGCTGAAATGGCATGGATCTGATTTATTGCTCTGGGGTTTGACCCTGGGCCCAGGTAATACTGAAGTACCCCCAGCTGGTTCTCATGGGCAGCAAAATTAGTCACTTATAATGTGCCTTGTGGAGGGGGGAAATCCCTATTCCAACACCTATATCTGATTGCTGTGGTGACCCCCTTTCTCAAATGATCCCTCATCCTCTGAGAGCTTTGCCCAGGCAGAAATTATATTTTGTTCTCCATTTTCTTTCTTTCTTTGGTGGAATTTGAATTCAATTTGCACTTGCTTTGCACAGGCACTCAGGTACTCAGATGGCAGGCCTTCTACAGCTTGAGTCACAGCTCTAGTCCATTTTTCTCTGATTATTTTGGATATGGGTGAAGGATGTGCCCTTTGCCCCAGCAGATCCCCATAGCAGAAACCAGTAAAGCCAGCACAGGATGCCCCGTGCAGGATAAGATAAACAGGATGGGGGCAGGTGGAATGTGAGGAATGTGAGCAGATTGCGAAAGACTACTAGAAGTACATGCAAGATGTGCCCTGCCTGCTTGCTAAATGTAACCGTGTGCGCGAATACTGACCCTTGAATCTATAGGCTAAGAAGTAATGTACTCTTAAATGGATAGGCTGGAAATGTATGTGGTGTTACAAACTCATTGGCTATGTACTGTGCGGGCTTTTGCTGTAACGGCTGGTAGGGGCCTATATAAGATCTTCCCTAAAGAGGCTCGGGGTCTTGTCTGCCCAATCGGACCTGTGTGTCTGTGTGGGAGCTTGACCCTGGCTTGCCAGCTCAATAAACTCGGCTTTGTTGATTGCATTCACGCGTGACTCTCTGCCTCTGGAGGAATAGATTCTCGGACCCTAACATTTGGAGGTCCCACTTGAGATACCCTTTTTCGAGAAGGCAGACCGTCCACGAGAAAGCAGAGGTGATTCCAAGTCCTAGGCATTGGGAGAGTCTGAGATTCTCATTTGGAGGGAACTAATTGGTAGTGATTGTTCCGTTTGGGCCGCGGGGATTTGGCCAATCCCCGGGGAGAGGTTCATTCTGGGAATCTCGTTAAGGGGACCACGAGGTCCTGCTGGGAGAGGCTTTCCTCTCATTTGGGCTCGAGCATTTCAGGAATCCT